TAAATTGTGCTTTTGGTGTTGTATCTAAAAAAAATCACTGCCTAGATTTTCTCCTATGTTATGATCTAGAAATTTTACAACTTTGAGAACTGGAAAGTCCACAGCATTTTACATTTAAGTCTGTGATCCATTTTCAGTTATTTTTTTGTAGGAAATGTTAAGTTCTGTGTCTACACTCATTTTTTAACATGTGAATGTCTAGTTGTTCTAGCAACATTTGTTGAAGACTCTCCTTTCTCTATTGAATGCCTGTTTTTTTCCCAAAGATCATTTGACTGTGTGTGAGTTTATTTCTGGACTCTATTTTGTCCCACTGATCTGTTTCTCAATTCTTTTGCTAACTCCACACCGTTTTGATTACCATAACTTTATATAACTCTTGAAGTCGGGTAGTGTTGGTCTTCAACTTTTTTCTTCCTTTTTTATACTTGCTCTGCTTTAACTTTTTTCTTTTTGCAGTAAACATATATAATAGCAGCAAAGTTGTTTTCATGTTGAAAAGGTAAATAAGATCACCATAAAAGCCTTATCTTAGTTAACTTTTTTCACTTTTTAATATCTGCATGTTCTTCCGTAAAAGAATCTTTTTTTTTTTTCTGTTTTTTTAAAGCTTTTATTGTGTATTGAGTGAGTGAAGGTATACAGGACAAATGACTGTTTGTACATTCAGAAGTTAATTGTCATTACAATACCCTCCACACACCCTTAGCCAACAGTATTTATATCTATTACTTTTTGTTTTGTTTTTTGGTGTACACATACCATATTGTAAATATATATTTGTTTAAATGTCCAAAGGGCACATTTTGCAAGCCAGCCTCCTGCCCGCAGCATGTTGCTTTTCTCAGTCCATGGGCCTATAGTTCACTGCTGTTCTCTCTATGCCATAACCTCTGCCACCATCTCTGTTGTTGCCATTTTTCTGGTTAGGATCCCCCACTCTCATGTGCTTCCCTCTTAATGGTTCTATGGTTCCCTGTTCCTGAAATGACAGATTAACTGCTCCCCCTTTTAGTTGCACCTCTTCTACATCTACAGTTGTGACAACCACCATTAGAACTGAAAACAATTACTCACAAATTGTGTCATAAAGTCTTGTCCCCCTTATTACCAGACCCATCTGGACAGGAGGGAAATTATTCAGTTGGGTTTCTGTCTTACTCCCTGCATTCTGACACTATATAGCCTCATGAAAGCTTGTAAGCCAGCTACTTCATGCCTTTACAGTCCCCCAATTTTGGTAGCCTAAGTCTAAGTTGCCCATCCCTATCCATCCAGTGTACTGAGGAGACATGCTTTATCCTTGATATGGAGAATCCTTCCCTATTTGGTTAGAATTTTGGGTGGCCTCATCCATAATCAAGGATCCAGTTAATCAGGTTGTAGTAATTTAATTTAAACTTGCTCCCTGTATCATACTTCTTTATCTTCATCTGGTCGAATTCTGGTCAGCAAGCCATCACACTAAATTCAATGGGTACTGTCTGTGAGTCTGGGAGTTCTCCTGTGCCTCCTCCTTCAGATCTGGTGGCTGCTTAACTTAACTTTAGCCCTTAGTGGCAAGGTCAGTGTCGTTGGGCTGGGTAGTTCACACATCACCCTGAACTTGAAACCAGTCAGCCCATCCTTTTCTCTCTCTTATTCCAAAGTTATCAGGCATCTATAGAATATGACAAATCTCAGCCCATGTCTTCTTTGCTGCAATCTCCCCCTTCCACTCACAGGTCGACCAGGACAGTTGCCAGTGAGTATATAAAACTGTTCAGGTGTTCCCTTTGAGTTTCAGTCTTAGAAAGGAGTTTACCCTGAAGAGTTGACTTTTCTTGCCTTGATGGCTCCAGGGCAAACAACCTTCTTGATAACATCAGTCTGCCTTTTTTTATTCCTTCCCCCACCTTTTGTTTTTTCCTTGCTCTAGCCATTCTGGGTTGGTCTGCATATCTTTTCAAATGAGAGCGTCCCACTTCTGAAGGTTCTGGGTGGGGCTCAGGAGTCCATCTAAGGCCTCATACTTCACCAAGGCTTAAAAAGAAGCCCAGGGTACAGTCTAGACCCCTTTTTGATAATCCAATCTGTTATAGGCTGAAGGTGGATTTATAAGTTTTCTGTAACCATCTTCCCCAGTTATCCTTTCTATCCTACTTAGATATCTATATTACACTAGTAGGCAGGGGAACCCAATATCTGCTAAACAGTCAAATACCCTATTATTATTTCCTCTCCTTTATACCTTCAGCTTATGTCCCCATCCCTATATCATGTTGTTTTTGTTATGTGTCATGGAGTCGGTTCCGACTCATGGAGACCCTGTACAGGGTTTCCCAGGCTGTAAATCTTCACGGGAGGAGAAAGCCTCATCCTTGTTATTCCAAGGCTGTGCATATGTCACAGTCTACCTCTATTCCATTTAGTCCAGTTATACCTCCCGGAGTCTTTCTCTGTCATCCCCACTCCTCTACACCCTCCTTATGCATTGCCCTTCCCCTCCTACTTATTGCCCTCCCTGCCCCCCAACTCCCAAGTGATCACAGTTACTATGAGTTACTATGCCCCTGCCCCATAATCCTCAAAGAATTATTCTTTTAACATGGAAATCTTTTCTTATGATTTACAATATGGACTTATGCAATATCTATCCTTTTGTGCCTGACTAATTTCACTCACCTTTATGTCATCAAGGTTAGTCCATGTTATGCAGTGTTTTTACAGCTTCATGGTTTTCTTCAAGGTAGCATAGTATTCCATTGTGTGTATGTACCAGAGTTTGTTTATCCATTCTTCCATTGACTGGCACTTGGGTTGTCTCCAGTTTTTGCTGTTGTGAATAGTACTGCAATTAAAATTGGTGTGCATATATCTACTCATGTTCTGACTCGTATTTTTTGTGGATATAATATATCAAGTAAAGGGATTATTGGATAGTAAGGTATTTCTATTTCCAGCTTTCTGAGGAAGCCTCATAACATTTTCCATAGTGGTTGAACCAGTTTGCAGTCCCACCTACAATGTAGGAGGGTCCCAATCTCTCTATACTCTCACCAGCATTTGTTGTCCTCTGGTTTTTTGAACTTTGCTCTTACTGCTGGTGTGAGATGGTATCTCATAGTTGTTTTGATCTGCATCTCTCTAGTGGCTAATGATCGTGAACGTTTTTTCATATGTTTGTTGCCTGAATGTCTTCCTTGGTGAAGTGTCTATTCATGTTCTGTGCCCAGTTTTTAATTGGGTTATTTGTCTTTTTCTTGTAGATGTATTGTTGTTGTTGTTGTTATGTGCCGTGGAGTCGGTTCTGACTCAGCAACCCTGTGCAAGGTTTCCGAGGCTGTAAATCTTTACGGGAGCAGAAAGCTTCATCTTTCTCCCACGGAACAGCTGGTAGTTTCGAACTGCTGACCTTGTGGTTCGCAGCCCAATTCGTAACCACTACGCTACCAGGGATGTATTGTAGTTTCCTAGAAATTTTTGAGATTTGTCCCTTGTCTGATGTGTCATTGCAAAAAAAATGTTTTCCCAGTCTGTGCTCTCTGTTTTTATTCTTTTGGTGAAATCTTCTGATGCACATACATTTCTAAGTTTTAGTATGTCCCAGTCATCTAATTTGTTCTCTTTTGTTTGTGTGCTTTTTGTCATGTTTGATAGGCTGTATATGCCATATATTAGAACCCTTAAGTTTGTCCCTATTTTTCCACTGATAGTCTTTATAGTTCTGGGATTTACATTTAGATCCTTAATACATGTTGAGCTAATTTTTGTATATGGTGTGGGGTATAGGTCTTGTTTCATTCTTTTGCAAATTGATTTCCAGTTTTGCCAGCACTATCTGTTGAAGAAACTACCTCCTCCCCATTCAATGTGCTTTTGGCCCTTTGTCAAAAATCAGTTGGCTGTATGTGGATGGGTTAACTTCTGGGTTCTCAATTCTGTTCCTTGATATATGTATCTTTAATTGTAACAGTACCAAGCTGTTTTGACTCCTGTAGCCATGTAGTACATTTTGAAATCAGGGAGTGAGAGGCCTCCAACTTTGTTCTTCCTCTTGAGCAGTACTTTGCTTATCCGAGGTCTCTTTAGTTCGTGATAGTTTTTTCCATGTCGTCAAAGAATGTTGTTGGAATCTGGATTGGGTTGTGTTATATGTGTAGATTGCTTTGGGCAGTATTCACATTTTCACAATGTTAAGCTTTCCAATCCATGAGCAGGGTACATTCTTCCATTTTTGTAAATTCTTTTAGTTTCTTTTAGTAGTGTTTTGTTGTTTTCTTTATATAGATCTTTTGTTTCTCTGGTTAGATTTATTCCTAAATACTTCATCTTTTGGGTGGCTATCGTAAATGGCATTTTTCCTTATTTCCTCTTAAGAGCTTTCTTTATTAGTAGAGAGGAATCCAACTGATTTTTTGTGTATCGATCTTGTACCCTGCCACTTTGCAATCTTCCAATGAGTTCTATTAGTCTTTCTGCTGAGTCTTTTGGATTTTCTATGTATAGGATAATATTGTCTGCAAATAGAGTCTTATTTCTTCTTTGCCAGTGTGGATACCTCTAATCTCCCTCCTGGTGTGGTGCTGTGGGATAATGCACCAGACTGCAAAGCCATTTGAACTGCAAGGTCGGTGATTCAAGCTCACCAGCTGCTCCTCGAAAACCCTATACAGGGTCGCTATGGGTCAGAATCGACTCGGAGGCACTTAATAACAACACAGCAATCTCCCTCTCTTGCCTTATAGCTCTGGCTAAGGCTTCCAACCCAAATATTGAATAGGAGAGGTGATAAAGGGCATCTTTGTCTGGTTCCTGATCACAAGGGGGACTACTTTCAGTTTTTCCCCATTGAGAGTGATGTTGACTGTTGGTTTTGTATATATGTTCTTAATTATATTGAAGACTTTTCCTTCAATTCCTGCTTGGTTTAGTGTATTTTTTATCAGGATAAAAGAATAATTTTTTAAATTAGCATTATTAAAGGAAAATTCTTTAATATGGTGGTGATTGTGTTACAGAAAATCTTGTCAGAAGTTGAAAGAGATCTGAAAAATGCTGCACCTGCATCTAAGACTCAGACCAAAGGAAAAAGGATGGTTATTGAAGAAGTAGAAACTTCAGAAGATGAAGATGGAAAGGCCAGCGGAAGGAAACATGAAGAAGGAAGAGGAGATAAGAGTAAAGCACCTTTTCTATTCTGGTTATGACCCAAACTACCATTTTATATGATGAGCTAACTCAGTTCTTCTGTTAGTTTACCAAACTTTTCCTAGCTTTATTTGAAAATCCATCAGGAATTTTGGATTCTCTCTTTCTTAATAACAGCTTTCTTTGAAACATACTCCAACCATATTCTTCTTAACCTCATACCTCTTCCTCAAACCTAAACCAAACCTAAACCAATCACCAGGTTGATTTCGACTTGTAGCAGTTCTGGGTTTCTGAGACTGTAAATCTTTACAGGAGCAGACAGCCTCATCTTTCTCCCATGGTATAGCCGGTAGGTTTGAACCACCAACTTTGAGGTTAACCGCCCAACGTCTAGCCCACAGCACCACCAGAGCCCCTTTACCTCTGCACTGTAAGATAAGCACTGGATGGACTGTTAACCACAAGGTCAGTGGTTCAAACCTACCAGCTGCTCCTTGGGAACCACCCTATGCAGGGTCGCTAGGAATCAGAACCAATTCTAAGATACTTAACAAACAACAACAGTGCTCACTTTAATTCATGATGGTTGCTGTGTTGTTGTTAAGTGCCGTCGAGTCGATTCCGACCCATAGGGACCCTGTATAGGGTTTTCAAGGAGCAGCTGGTGAGCTTGAACCCCTGACCTTGCAGTTCAAACAACTTTGCAGTCTGACGCATTAGCCCACAGCGTCACACCAGGACTCAATTTAATTGGAATTAAGTCCACTTTAAATTCTTGATTATCACCTTTAAATGGAAATGGCTGTGTCTTTGTGAAACCTATCAATTGCAGCTTAACCTTAAATATCCCTCTGAGATGATTGTTTTGATTGTATCTAAACCAAACAAAAATCAAAACCAAATCCACATCCATCTAGAGTGGATTTTGACTCAGAGTCTATAGGACTGAGTAGAACCTCTCCTTAGGGGTTTCCAAAACTGTAAATCTTGAGAATGGGAGCATACAGCTTCATCTCTCTCTCATGGAGTGGCTGTTGGGTTTGAACTGTTGACCTTATAGTTAGCAGGCCAACGTGTAACCCACTGTGCCACCAGGACTTGGTTGCAAACAAACTGAGTAATGAAACTTAAAAGGGAATCTGAGTAGCACCATTTATATGCTTAAAATTCATGCACTGTTAGAAAATTATGTGTGCTGCTCAAAAACGGTTTTAAAATATGCAGAAGAATAAATATAATGTTACCTTTGAAATCATACTTTAAAAAAAATGAGCATAGACTAGATAAAGATTATTCTTCTCCATAATATAAAGCAACGATAGTTACATTGGCTCTGAGGGGACATTTTTACCTACTTGCTTCATCAAAAGGGAGAAAACTTCCCTCTTCTTGAAAATCCTGAAGCAACCAGAGGGCAGAATATCAATCTGGAAACTTTTTCAAAAGTAAAAATCAGCTTACTGGTAATTTGACAGAGCATTTTAATTTGAGAGAGAAATATAAAATTCACATGCCTTTAAAAAAATACAGAAGAAAAAGCACAAGTTTTATTTTTTATATAGTGTAAAATATTCAGATTAAAATATGAGCAGTTAAGACAGGAGAAAGACAAAGGGAAAGGAAAAGAAGGAAAGAGAAGAAAAAAGAGACAGAGAGCCGGAGCACGCACTGGCGGGAGAGAGCGCTGGGAAATAAATGAAAAACAGACATTGAAGAGGTTTTCAGCCATATTTTAAATAAGTTCTGGCAGCAAATATTCTTGGATTTTATATTCCACTTAAGATTGTTGTTGTTGTTGTTAAGTGCTGTTGAGTCGGTTCCAACTCATAGCCACCCTGTATAGGGTTTCCAAGGAGCAGCTGGTGAGTTTGAACCTCCAACTTGTCAGTTCAAACCAGCCTTGCGGTTGAGTGCTTTTTCTAATTAATTAAAAGTCTTAGAGTCAAAGGAAATAGTTTTAAGTCTTATCTGGAACAGGATGAAGAATAAACGATATTAATTGTTGGAAGCTCTCTGTCAATGTCTGATTGTAGCTGTTTCTGTACTACCTTTAGCAAAATTTTACTCAAATGGGATATCAAAAAGATTGTCCAATAATTTCCACATTCCATTGGGTCACCTCTCTTTGGAATGAGCACAACTACGGATGGATCTCTTCCAATCAGTCGGCCAGATAGTTGTCTTGCAAATTTCTTGGCAGAGATGAATGAGTGCCTCCTGTGTCACCTTACTTTCTTGAAAGATTTCAATTTTTATTCCATCAAATCCTGGTGCCTTGTTCTTTGCCAATTCCTTCAATGCCCCTTGGATTTCCTCCTTCAGTATCATTGGCTCTTGATCATATGCTACCTCTTGAAACGGTTGAACATTAACCATTTCCTTTTGGTATAGTGACTCTGTGTATTCCTTCCATCTTCTCTTGATGCTTTCTGCATCATTCAGTAATTGGCCCAGTGAATCTTTCAATAACAAAAGTCGAGGCTTGAATT